TCATTTCGGGGTGAACACGAGCGAACAACCTGTTGTTCGTGTGCGGCTCGTTAGGCTTAACGAACGAGCCGAACACGAACTGTTCACGAACAACGAGCCAAATTGACAGCCCTAGGTAAAATATGGCGCGGATGAGATTGATGTAATAACATCACAACATGACCAGCATCATACTAATCCACGTATATGATATCTGTACCCAACCAGTATTCTATAGGGCTGGGGATGGACATATACGCGTGCTGTGATTGTAATTTTAAAATTCTCACGAAAATATTCAAATTTATAATTTAATTTATGTTTAATAAGACTTTTAATAATTTAATCATGTCACAGATAATATACATATTTAATTTAGGGGAATTTACATACATAGCACCCGATTTTTATGCATTACTTATCTCACGCCGAAACTTTGATTTTTACATCCAAAACACCCTATCAATGTAAATAGTGCAATCCACATTTTGATACAATAATAACCTAATTTTCAAAATATTGATAAAATTTTTAATTATTTTTAGTAAACATGAATTGGGAATGAAAAAAAAAAGTTTTTATTAAAGTTGTCATTTATTATCATTTATTTTAAAAAATTTGTTATTTTTTAATTTATTTTGTACAGTTGTCATCTATAAAGATATCATGATTATTCATTTGTTCTAATCTCAGGTATTTATTTCATCGGGCCCCATACCAACGAGGTGTATGGCGACGTTGTTCTTGGTGGTAAGCCGTCCGGGCGGAATATTTTCTCGGTGAAGTGAGAGTGCCGATGTGCCAACTTGTTCCCAAAGAACCCAATTCGTAAAGAATATAAGGGAGATTTTGCTCTATAAAAACATATAAAATGTATATGGCATCAATTGAGAGGATGCATTTGCCTTTTTGGTTAGAGCCAACATGAAAGGTTTAAAGGGAAAGGGAAGAAAGGGGGGTTGAGGATAACATTCTAATTCACATAAATTCATATGCATTTCTTCTTTATTCTAAAGGAGAAAGAGTGGTATTTATATGCTTTAGGGGTTTAAGATTGTTTAACTTGGTTGGTATACAACTGCATATGACATAATATGCGACACTTTGAGTGAATGAGTCATCAGTTTCCATCAATCTAGTGTAGGAATAATCAAGGTAGATACTTTTTGGACTTCGATTTGATAGTAATCAATAAAAACATCCGGAACTTCGAGTTTTGGCTGAATGTTTTCAAGTTCTACCGGCAAGAAACAAGAAGTCAAATGAGTCATCAATCTCTATCCATCTAGTTGGGGAATAATCCCGATGGATTCTTCCAGGACTTTGATTTGATAATAATCGATAAAATCATATGGAACTTAAAGAGTTTTGGGTGATTTTTTTAAAGATATATTGACAAGAAAACTAGGAGTCAATTGTGACGTCAATTTCTATCAATGTAATTGTGAAATAATCCCGGTGGATGCTTGTTGGACTTTGATTTTGATAGAAGTTGAATATATATTTCACTTTACTATAATGTTTTATTCAAAAATTTGGGGCCATGCCCACCTTACTATAATGTTTTATTCAAAAATTTGGGGCCATGGCCACCTTCAATTCCTCCATAATTTCAATTCCTCTATAATTCCACGATTGCGCACGAGAGTGAAGAATAATCTCACTTGAAAGCAAAACATTAGGTAAACATATTACTACATAATTCCACCATTACTGTCATTTTAAGATAAATTTTTTTATGTTAATTGTATCTATCAATTACTCCTTGGGGGTTAACTCACACTTCTAATAGTCCAGCCTATTAA